AGTATTGGAATCCCCGCCTCAGTGTCTGTTTTACCCACAGGAGCAGAAAGTAGTAGAATTTCTAGCTCTTCTGCCTCCCAGATCTCATCTTCGGGCTTTAATACTTTACATATTATACCGCTTGGTGGATACTTTGATCCACAGCAGCGCCGGGATGACGAACACCTCTCCGGAACGTCCCAGAGGAAATCGAACCGCCGACCCCCGCCCGCGTTACCGACCATCTTCCAATCCGCCGAGCTGCGCCGGGAGGAATTTAAAACAGGACGTTTTTTGCATTTTGCTGATGCTCTTGTCAGCTCGGTCGACTTACAATGAGTGACAAGGTAACATCAGGACAGACGACGGCTGACTTCTGAGTGGATGGATGCACAGTTTTTGACATGCGCTTGTCTGGATACCAAAGAGAGGTCAGATGTTTTTTCTGCTCCTGACGCAAAACAAAGTTGATCTAAAAAGTGCATCTGACACACAATAACCCCGGGAAGCATGATTTCATTCAGAAGCAGGAACATAACATCTACATACCAGCTTTTAATGGCGCCACACAGTATTGATCAGGTTTGCTCAGTTGTCATTCACATCGATCTGCTGATGTGCAGCTTCTGTAGCAGCGTTCACTTCATCTATAGGACATTATGGATTTATTATAAGTGAAAGTCTTGATATGAAATAGCAGTTTGACAAACATAAATAAATCTTGAAAGGTTAAACGTATTTATTAGTTTCTATAGCTTTAATAAGTACAGTGACTATAAAAACAATTCACTGCTCTTGGAGATTTTTATTTGTTTGCCGTTTTTGACGAGAATTTATTTTTTTTTAAAAATACTTATGTCAAAGTGAAAACTGTTTTCTACAAAGTAATGTCAATTATCACTTATATTCCAAATGAAATTACTTAAAAAAAGTAGAAAATGTAAAATAAATGACTACATAAGTATTCAAATGACTCACCTAATTCAACACAGGTGCAGCCAGTCGGTGCTACAATAAGTGAAACGGAGATAATCTGAGTACAGTGAATGTGTCTCAAGTGACTGTGATATAAAAACACCTGCAGCTGGAAGGTCCAGCCACTGGTGAATCAGTACCACTGACTATAGCTACAGCATAAAGACAACAGAACACTCCAAATCCATTATGAACAAATGGAAGGAAAATGGCACGTGTCTGCCTCGAGCAGGCCGTCCTCAAAAACTGAGTGACTCTGCATGAAAGATGACGAGTGAGGGAGGCCACCAAGACACCTATGACTTCTCTAAAGGAGCTACAGGCTTCAGCGGCTGACATGGGAGGGACTGTGTGGACAGCAACTGTTGCTGTTCTTCACCAGTAGAAGCCTTAAGAAACAGTGTTGAAAAAGGCTATAACAAATGTCGACTAGAGTTCACCACAAGGCATGTGAGAGACTCTGATAATAGGTCCAAAACACAGAAACACCCAACAGTGCACATCATCACAAACACACCATCCTCACTATGAAGCATGACGGTGGCAGCATGAAGATGAGGGAATGCTTCTCAGCAGGTTGTGAAGGTAGAGAGTAAAATGAATCCAGCAAAGTCTGAGGACATCTTAAAGGACAACCTGATGCAGTCAGCAAGACAACTGCAACTTGGGAGAAGATACTAAAACTAAACACGGCTGTGCAATCATCTCTTTTACATTTTTAATTAATTGACATAACTTTGAAGTTTTACTCTGTTTTCACTTTGACATAAAAGAGTTTTTTTGTAAATTCTTGTCAAAAAAAAGCCAAAATAAATCGACAAAAGGGGAACTCTTCCAAAGGGGGGTTAACGTTTGTTATAAGCCCTGTAAGGAACCCAGATGACTATCAGGTAAATTAGAAAGATGTCTGCGTGGACTCTCAGTCACTCAGGTCTTGGTGAGCTTAAGAACTTCAGCAGAAGACAGCTGGGCTTCATTTCAGTCCTGGAAACCAAAAAGAACGTCCAGCTGCTCTCTGGGTAAACTGGACAAACAACAGACAGCAACATCCGCAAAGACTGATCTCATAATTTACTTCTTCTTTTTGACTGTATGCTTAGAATCTGCGCTGCAAAAGGTGTAAAAATAGTCTGAAAATCCTCGAGCAGATGTCTCCAAATGAGCAAGAATCCCTTTTGTTTGTCTCTAACAAAAGGGGGGCGACTGGCTTTGCAAGTGTTTCACGACAGAGGAAGTGCATTCATGGTGTTTGTTACACACATTTATGTACTTGTTGGAGAGTTGACAGTGAATGTAGATATAACGTTTCTATTGTTTTACGGGAACACTCTCCTGGGTGCCTTTAGCTCAAGGTACACTTGGTAGCTTTGCTTCTATCTCAGGCCTTCAGCGACATCTTATGGTTTTAATCAGCAGCTGGAGAAAAGCTAGAAGGCAGACCACGAGTTACGATTATTTGGTCAAACTTCCATTTCAGAGATAAGAATAATGAGCTTTTATGGTCATTTTACTGAGCACTAGTCACGTCTGCTTCAACCACGACACTCTTTATCTCAATCTTCAGACAAGTCAAGAAGTCAATGAAATAACAGATTTTCAACTGCTCGTCGCAACGTTGGCGCTGCTGCTGACCGAACGTGTCGTCACCATGTGAATAAATGTACACAAGTTGTAGCTGCCTTGAGGTTTCAGCGACATTTAGCACCACCTCAACATCTAGACCCCTCATCAGAGTGAAAGTGACATTTTTGAGGGTCTAAAAAGGTGAATAGGAGAAGACTACTCGGCTACAAATCACTGTTGCTTCAGCAGCATTTGAAAAACCATTTTCAGATGTGTATGTAGGATCACATGAGGCCGTTTCCCACTGCAGGAATCCATTTTTAGGAGAAAAAAATTACCAACTGTGCGGAAGGTATTTCTGCCCCGTCTTGAAAAACTGCTGGACAGGTCTTGACGCTGATTGGTCAGACTGGGAGAAGACAACAGACGGCATTTTTCGGCCCACTCAGTGTCCTTAGCATAAAATTTGCCATACGGCGAACAAACCCTCCATTGTTCTATGTCCCGTGGGGTCATAGAAATGGAGTCTTGTCTAGTAACTAGAATTGGTCATTGTTTGGGCATAGCTAGAGTTGGGCGTCATGGTTGAATATGTTGGGCTGCACATTACATTGGAAATAGAAGTTCTGAAAGGAGGCCGTTCTTTGTGCCTGTCCTGAGTTCCTGCAGTGGAAAGACCAAACTGATTGGGGGAAAGTGATGTCTCTCGAGGTGTAAAAAGTTCCCAGAGAGGACTACTAGGCTACGAGTAACTGTTGCTTCAGCAGCATATCCGACATTATATTTCAATTCGTAGGTAGGACCTGGTTCACATCAGGCTGTTCTCCACTGCAGGAACTTGTGGGCCGTTTTAGGGTTTTCTCAAGGAAGAATGAAGTACCAACTCTAGGGTAGGCTCTTCTGAGCAGCTTTGAAAAACTGCTGTGCAGATCTTGGAGCTTATTGGTTAAAGACAACAAACATTTTGATCCTCTGTGTCTTTAATGTAAAACTCACCATATAAGCTAAAACAACAAACCCTCCATTGCACTATTTCATAAACGCACAAATAACTGGAGTTAAATCAAGTAACTAGTGTAATCAAAGTTGGTGTCATGGTGGAATATGTTGGATTCAACACTGCATTCCAAATGAAAAGGCTGATTAGAGGGGCTGTTCCTGTAAAACCTTTGTGCCACCTTGCTCCTGTCCGGAGTTCCTGCAGTGGAAAGGTGCCTTTTGTTAGACTGAGAGACACATTTAAACCATCTGTCAGGTTAAAACTGTTTTTTAAGGTGTAAAAAAGTTCCCAGAGAAGACTACTCGGCTACAAAGAACTGTTGCTTCAGCATCATTTGAAACGCTGCATTTCAATGTGTAGGTAGGATCTAGTTCACAATGACATGGAATCAGTGACGAGGTCAGTTTCTAGAACAGTGCTGATATGTGAGCTGTAACTTTTCAACCAAATTTAAAGTTTTAGGTCCAGAAAAAGCTACATTTGAACCTTCGGCTATGAGGATATTTTATAAAGGTACGTTTCCACTGACCTGGAAATCAACACATCAATGCTCACAGAGCGACTGGAGCTCCTCTGTGAGCCGGTAAACAGCCCTCTGCAGCAGGAGGGAGACTGAAGCTGCAGTATATTACAGTCGTCAGGGACCCTGTGCATCAAGTCGCCTAAATTAGAAGTCTTTGAGTCCTTCCAGTCCTCCCCACTGTGCCGCCGCTCTGACCAGGACACTAATCACAGCCTCGGGGGGAAGTCATGGTCACAGCCGGAGTGTCTGAGCTACCAGCCAACCCACACACCTCAGCACTTCTCTGATTATTCTTCACTGTCCTGGAACAGATGCATTCAAATGTAATGGCCCGAACCAGGAGACACGCACGCTGCATCCAAAGACAAATGGGGAGATGTGTTCACACAGTGATACTGTACACAAAGAGGCACAAAGCTGGATGAGAATATGAGAGAGAAGGAGAGCGAGTGCATCTTCCTCTGTGTCAATACAATGAACTGCAGAGTATATTGCAGGCACAAAATGATAATAGAATACAATTAACTTCAAATGGTTTCACTGCACACATAAATCTCTCCCTCTGCAGGGTCACAAAGGACTTAACTCCTTCGGTAAAGATGGAGTTTCTAATTGCACATTGCTCCATGTGCTGTGATGCTCACATTGTCAATGGCACACTGTTAGAGAGTGTTAGCAACTTATCTCTGCAGAATAAATTAGAAAACCATCCGGACATCGAGCCAACGCCACAAAGTGTCTCTTAAAATTCAATTTCACAGCATTAGAAAAGAAAAGACATCTTTAGGTTGTGTGAGTAAACACGCAGTCGAGCAACGAAGCCGATTTTACCTGCGAGTTTGGCGAGAATCTGCTTTTAGCTCGCTTGTGTTTTTCTTTTTCAAATAACCTTGTTTGCTGAAGCGTCTTTGAAAGAAGCAGAGTAAATTGAAACTGACGGAGCATCTGCCTTCAATACTCCCTCTGTCAGAGATGAAGGCCTGAATGATACTCGTTACAGATTAATTACAGCCTGACAGAAGACAGACGCTCGGAGGAAACGGAGTAGACGAGCTCGTCAGACGTCCTCGTCGTCGCAAATCGTCTCCGCAGTCGCTGAGCTCGTTTTCAGCTACAGCCCTGGAAAGAAAAATGTAAATTCAGCCTCTGTGATGTCTAGAGCCTGCGGACATGTCAGCGGCCGAGGTCACTGCGAGCTGACGGACGCTTGTTTCTTCTTTTTTTTTTAAGTTCAAGCCATCCTTTGCTAGACTCACAGAGCAGCGAATGGATCAATTAGTCAGTGCAGAGCAGCGAGTCGTGCACATTCTTCAGTTCTGAAAATCAGAAGAACGAGACTTTATATTCAAGAAGCAGGAGATATGTCAGTGCTGTCTGGGTTGGTCAAACCTTCATGTTAATTTGTCCAATTCAGGAGCCTAAATCCTGAGGCTCCACCTGTGACCAACCAGGACTTGACCAACAACCCTCATGGAATGAAATTTGTGCTAAAATGGATGCTTGTGTTTGAAAGTGTCACTGCAGAGATTCACTTGGTCTCCACATGTCGATGATAGATGATGATATTTCCACGCTGGTTCAGCCAGGGTCACGACAGCTGCCAGGGCGGATTGAAGAACTTAATGGCGTGAGTCTTGGCCCACTTGGAGAAAACGGACTTCTCGGTGATGAAGCGGTGTCCCCCATAGGGGGCGCTCTCATGGAGGAGGTACTCTGCACACTCGTCCCGGCTGCCTGCCTCGTAGTAGTGGTAGGGAACCTTTTTGTTGCCCTCTGTCCTAAAGCGAGAAGGAAAGGAAAGAAGCAAGTTGAGGAGAACTGCACAGCTTTTAAGCATCTATTCAACATCACAGGACAGTAACACCAGTAGGATGTAACAACTGCTATACGTACCAGCGATAAACACTTTATCAATATTTGTTTGATTTCATGTTTGACAGTTTCACTAAAGAGTTATTCCATCCTAAATCATCAGGAACTTCTGCTCAACCATCTCTACCTTGCTTGGTTATATTAAGGCTATGCTGTGTTGATGTCATCCTAATAAAACGATTTGCACAATACTACCTGATAAAGTTTCCTCCAAACCAAAGTTTATTCCTACAAAGTGGCGCCGGAAACTAAAAAACATGTCCAACAATGAAAACAATGATTTTCTTAGTTATATTTGTGGAACCGTTTTGAATCTCCAAGAACTCTGTTCTACTTGGATTACGCTACCTACCATGAGTTAGTTTATTTTACAGCTTGTCTTACCTGCTCATCAGTTATAATAGTTCATTGAAAATATGAATATAAATGTGTGCTCAAAGACACAGACTTGATGCTATAAAATCTTCTGGCAAATCAGAGATTGTCTGAATAGAAATGGTTTTAAAAATTTGATGATTTGAAGTCGACCCTAAATGCATCAGATCAAAGTTGCCATGAAAGCAAATTATTAAATATAAAAACTAAATCAAAGCACAAATGGTTCTTCAACCTCAAGGAGAGGAACAGGGTGGACATATGGAACGTCCAAGGAAGTTACCAAATATGGTCACTTGCCCCATAACGGGTTAAAATTGTTACTCATGTACCTCGACACATTGGCTAAATTGATTTAATTCCAAATAAATATTTTTTCTCCCAGCCTTTATTAAAAACAGGTAAATAAAAACTGTCAGGATTTTTTTATATTAACTGAAATTAAGCGTTACGCTGTCTAGTTTTTGTTTGTTTTTTTTAAGCTATCTTGCCCAATCCGACACTCTGTCTATATAAAACAAGTTATAGAAAACGCTTGTTCGTCCAGAGGGACCTGTGTGATCTGCTTAACTGCCTGAAGTGATCGGCTGAGTCAGACGACTATCAATTTAAAATTTTAAAGCTGTCACACATACAATGATGAATCTGCAATAAACTAATATCAGCTGGTACATCTGCTGAGACATTTTATCTGTCCTGTCTTGTTCGGGTATGTTTGAATGCTTTTGGTCTGAGTGTATTTTTTAATGTCTCCTGTTTGAACACGACAAATCCCACAGAACCAACGCAAAGTCCACAAAGAAATGATTTTCCCAGTTGGATGTGATAAAACTGCTTCCAGTACCTCTGGGATGAACTGGAAGTGCAGCTGCGAGCCAAACTTTATTGCTCAGCATCTTAATGCTGTCGTGTCTAATTGGGAACAAATCCCTGCAGTCAGGTTGCAATTTTTTGCTCCCAGAAAAGTGGAGGCTGTTAAAGCAGCAGATTAATGTTTGTAGAAATTTCCATTTTGGCCATGTCTCTGTGGTTAAAGACATATATCCTGATATTGATTTAATTATATATACTGTTTGTTATTGCAGGCAATACTGGAGCTGCTTTCGCTGCGTCTGCACAACATCAGCCATAATATCTATAAACAGAAATATGTTTCATATGATAACGTGAGGCTGAAAGATGTCTCGTGGTTAGCGTCGTCGCCTCACGGCAAGAAGGTCACCGGTTCGAGTCCCGGTGAGGACACCCAGGATCTTTCTGCGTGGAGTCTCCATGTTCTCCCCGTGCAGCGTGGGTTCTCTCCGGGTTCTCCGGCTTCCTCCCACAGTCCAGAAACATGCTGAGGTTAATTGGTGATTCTAAATTGTCCGTAGGTGTGAATGTGAGTGTGCTTGGTTGTCTGTCTCTAAGTGTAGCCCTGTGATAGACTGGTTACCTGTCCAGGTGAACCTGCCTTCACCCTGAGTAAACTGGGATAGACTCCAGCCCCCCATGACCCTGGTGAGGATTAAGCGGTGTGTAGATAATGGATGGATGGATGGATGGATGGATGGATGACAATATGATTCATGTAGGCCATTGCATCCTCAAATATCTTCTCTTCCAGACAGCCAAGACAAATGGTTTCGCTCTGATTGGCTTGAGAAGACTATTATCTGACAAACAAACAAAATTATTTAACTATGAAAACGAAGCTCCTTCAGGACAACGAGCTGTAATTTGAACGATTCTGCTGCGAGCAAAGTTCTGCACTCAGCAGGTTATTTCGAAAAAAAAAGGAGCCGCGGTTGTTGGCAGCCGAGTCTGTTCAACAAACACTCCTTTTCCTGAACGGTATTTATTTATAAAACATCACAACGGTATTTATTTCTATTCTGCGCCAAATCTGAAAACACACAGTAAATTCCATAACGTACAGTCGGAACCATTCTGACCCGAATTTCACGACTCACTCTGTTTATGGAGTTTGCATTAAAACAGAATGAGGAATCAATAAAAACAGAAGGAAGCTGCGAGCGGTGGATTAGGTTCATTGTGCGCTGGGCTACGGGTTTCTAATGGTGACTGACAGCTTTATGAGACGACGACTCGAGCAGCAATCGAGAGAATGAACCCAGACAGAAGAGAAGCAGCCATCAGTGGGTCCACAGCAGAAAGTGAGTGTGGCTGTCTGCCAGCGTACAGTAATACACAATCACTGCCTCTCTTCTGTGTCACACAGCGGTGCGCACCGGCGTTAACAAATAAATTCAATTTCACCCCTGTCTGCAGCACCTGTTGAGGCTCCATTACCGCACAACCGCTGAGGTCACTCCCGACTAAAGCTTCTGCACAAAACTTTGCTTCTTCTCGTCATACTGGAGCATCCAGCTGCCAAAAGTACTTTGGGCGACACTAAATTGTCAATTCAGAGCGAAACACAATATCCTCCCGTCTCACGCCGGATGGAGGGAAATAAATGAGAGACGGGCAAGGGAGAGAAAACCGCCCCTTAACTCCCTCGCTGAATCATAAAATCCTCCGTGCTGGTTGAATTATCACTCCTCTCTGCCAAGTGTCTGGGGCTGCTTTTATTTCAGCCCCTGCTGCGCTCGGGGAACACGGCGAGGATAAAAGCCAGGATTTTCACTGTGCATTAGGTAAAAGTGTTTGATTTGGGGGGATACAGAGAGCTCAGGTGGAGCCGTGAGAGGAGGCGAGTCCATCAAGGCTGAGATGACTCGAGACTGAGCAGCATCTTGTTTGTCATTACTCCGATGGCCTCGCAGCCAGACGGTAATCACTCACCCAGGACTGGGAGCGAAGACAACCGGCTGATATACAAATAAAACCTGAAGCAGAGGAGGAATTGGGTGCTGCGGTCCAACCACCCGCAGCGACACACTCTCTGCAGCCTGCTGGGTATTCTAGGCAGGAAAACATAATGGTATTCGCGGCACAGAGGACCCAATATAGATTTCAGCACAGAAATTCAGCCATTAAATCCAAACTGAGGTGCTGGAATTGTAGCAGGGCAGCCAGTCGTCATGGGAGGCTGCGATTGGCTGGTGAATGCGAATCTAGTTTTTCAAAGTTTTGTGGGAAACGTGTGCATTTTTCATCCAAACACGGAGGGAGGGAAGGAGGTGAGGGGCGGCTGGTGTCTTACTTGCAGTAGGTGTCATTTATCATGCCGTAGATATGGATCTCTTTGCACATGTCCATGGCGAGGATGAGCGTGAACCAGCCGGTGCTGAGGTACGAGCCGGACTGGATCCTGCAAACACAATAAAAAACACACATCTTTTACTATAATATTCATTTGCATAAAAATCCTAAAAAAAAAAAAAAATCATTTACATTAAAATAAGAGTTTCAAGGATCTGACCTTTGTGCTCCTTGTGAGAATGTGATAATTAAAATTATTCTAACAGATGCAGCTGCTCCTGTAAATTAAAATGTAAACGATTCTACTTTGCGTCTGTCTAATTAAATACATTCAGGAGGTTGTAACATTCACACCTCAGCGTGTACATAAAAAGATTTAAAGGGCTGAGTAACGCATTATTAGATTGTTGAACAGCTTCTCGCAACAAGGCAACAGCAGTCGCCCCGAGTGAACGATGCAGCAACCTGGTGGGCCAATCAATAACGACATGCATGATCCTTTCATCAGCATCAGACGGGTGAACCAGTTATGACATGTCAGAGGTACAAAAAAAAAGAGGCTTTGATCATTTCCAAACAGAACGCGATGCATCTTGATCTGAGGTTTTTTGAAGAAAACCAGATTAGTAACGTCTGAAGTGGGTCGTAAACTCTGCTACCCGCAGCTTTCGGCAGCGCAGGGGGTCCCGAGATCCCCGAGGACCCCGACTCTCAGCAGCACAACGCAACACCGGGAGCATCCTCAGACTCGGTGTAAATTAAGAGCAGCGCACAGCAGGATGCTGATAATGATGTGGGACAAATGTAACATCCCCGCAGTGTGATACAGTATCAGCATGGAAGACCGCAGATGTTACATAACTGGTTATAAATCATCCTATTAACTGATGTCGTCATTTCTAAATCAATTAAGGCCACAACTAAAGTTAATTTATTTATTGATTAGCTTTTAGATTATTTGTTTGTCTGTAAAATTACAGAAAATAGTGGAAAGTGTCTGTTGGAGCGCCCAAAAATACATTTAGATGCTAAAACTTTTACCAAAAAATGATTTAAAGCATTTATTCAAATGAGTCACACTACGAAGACAATAAAAGGAATTCTAGATTTTACAAAATAATAAATTGATGCATCAATAAATAAGTCAAGAAAAAAAAAAACACTAAACAAATGAGACGTGTTTAAAAAAATAACACATTTTTAAATTTCTTCACACAGATTTAAAAGTGACGACTAAAACTTAATTCTCTTCTGCTACTTATGAAGGAATTAAATCTTATTTATTTGTAAAATGTTTCATTAATCTCCATTTTTCAACAAGTCCAAATTCATACCAATTAAAAAGCCATTAAAGAACCATTTAACGTGTCTCCTTACAAGACAACCGAGATGAAAATACAGAAGTGTTTTCATGTTAAAGCAAACAAGAAGAGGTTTATGAAGTTTTCCAAAGTAACACCAAAGTTTTAAGCAGCAAATCCAGCAAATGCTGTTGTTGAATGAAGGGCTTTGGACAGACTGCTCCAGGATCAGCACCTTGGACAGCAGCTCTCCTCAGCCAACACTACACACAGGGTACTGACTGCTACACAGTAAGATTTACAATCAAATGTTTTTTTTTTTTTTAACAGTTTGCTTTACAAGAAATCAACAGGAAAACAGTTTTTATGTCACATCCTGAGTGTTCATTTTCAGCGTCAACACACTGCATACTCAGAATCTCTTTAGAATTGACCAATACACACTCACCCTCCTTTCTCTGCGTATATCTTTCAGAAAAGTAATAGAGTTAAGCACTTGTGAAGGTTACTAATTCAGGCTTTTCACGTCTGTGTGTCCAGACCAGAAAGTCATAATACGGTGGGTACGTGTCGGTCGGCTACAAGGACGGTCGCACTGCCCCACATATCGAACACAGATGAATAACAGCCGGTCGCAGATTCAGCTGTAGCGTGGAGGTAATGTGATTATATCTGAGGTGTGTCGAGAAGAGTGGACGGATAGAGCACAGGATATCTGGAGAATTTACGACTTCCTGCTTAGCTTTGGCTCCACTGATGAAAAGTATACGTACGAATCAAAGCACCTCCGAAGTCCGGCAGCAACTATTTCAATTACAGCTCTTCTAATGATGAATTTTAAAGGTTTGGATGATGAAGCATCGCCTCACGCACTCTCTGATCATATGAAACATTTGCTTTAAGCACCACATGTTTTCCTGGTAAATGTTCAGTAGATACTGCAGCATGGATACCTTGGATAGATTTACATCATGTGTACTCTTGTCGACATACATGACTCGGCCTTAAAGCTCTACTGCTGACTGCAGACTGTGGAGGCGATAACTTGATTTGGATTATTTCAGATTGAAGTGCCACATTTGATCACCAGTTGACCTCACTATCTTTTTACATAACTTAGAGACTTGAGGAGTAATCAATGGCTCATATGCTCATGTGTCTCCAACAAAAGTATTAGTCTAAGTCTAGTCTAAGTCTAAGTATTTCCTCGATGGCTCAGTTGAGTTGTGGAGTCCCACAAGGCTCAATTCTTGGCCCCCTTCAGTTGTCTATATACATACTGCCTCTTTGTTAATACATAACATTTTACCCACAGAGCCTTGCAGTCAAGAAAATCTCCCAACTTGCCTCTCTGATATTAAACCACTGAAGTCCCAAAATGTCCTCAAATGTAATTAGTCTGAAGTGACCCAGCCACCATTAGCTCTGCTGCATCTTGGCAATCTATAAAACAATATAAAGCAGACTGCGAGGAATCTTGGCATAAAATGTGATCCTAACCTCTGTTTTGATGATAAAAGTCAAAAATGTTTCTTTTTAACTCAAGATATTCAGTGAAACTAGTTAATTCCCGTCATTTACTGATGTATAAAAAGTTTGGTTCTATCTGTTCTCAGCTTGATTACTTGAATACAAAGATGCTTCATCACGTCACACCCTGTGCTCGTCTTCCCACACTGGCTCCTCACTTGATTCTGATTTGATTTAAAGTTTTTACTGCTCACTTTTAAGGCCTTGCTCCTAAATGCGTCTCTGATTTATTGACTTGGTATGAGCCCTGTCAAGTACTGAGATGCTGCTCGTTACTCCCACGTCACAGTTTGTGACGAAGGCTTTTGCTGTTCAAGCCTCCACATTCCTGAACTCTGCTGCTGAAGTGAGACACACTAAGCCCACAGTTTATTTAAAATCTCCTCTTAAAACATTCCTCTTTGTGAAAGATCTTGGAACTGTTTTTATTTCTATTTATTTGATCTTATTCACCTCATTATTTTTGCTTCCTCTCTGCTCATGTCCCGCAGCCCTATCATCATTTTATCTGTCCTGTTTGGTTTTAGTTCCTTTGTTAACAAGTGATAAATTAGGCAAGGTTGTTGTATTATTAATATTTTTGCTAAAAAAAAAAAGACAAAAAACTTTGAATCATTGTGTTTGACGAAAGATGAAAATAGTGTGTGTGCTGAACATAATGATTGTGATTAAGTGTGCGTAACAAATGAAACAGAGAGACAGAACTTTCACTTGGCCAGTGTTTGACCTTTGAATAAAAGAAAGGTGAGATATTTGTTTGACAAAATCACATCATTTGTCAGCGGTAGAAGCTGTAAAAAGAGGTCATCGAACTCATTGATATGGGAAACATAACCAAATCTGAGCCTAAAATTCATCAAAATGTCTGTATTCTACATGTCACATTAAAGAATCTGATAAAAACAAACCAATTGTAAAAAACAGATTCTATTAAAAAAAACATTAATTGTGCTCTGCAACGCAACCAACAGTCACATCACAACAACTCAGGGAGTTTTGGGCTGAACTGCAGGCCGTGTATCACCACAACACGTACAAGCATGAAACAAATTAAAAATATATAGAGTCACATTTTTATGGTGAGTACGACAAAGTTGTAACGTCATACCAAAAACAAAACAAACACATCCCACACATACAATAAAAGCTGAATTTCTTTTATTTTATATTTTATCTATTCATTTATTATTATTAATAACATGTACAACAGCAAATGTGTTGATTCCAGGCTTTTTACATTTTTTTTGTGAACTATAAAATCAAAGAAATGTGACTTTTGTTGTTTTCTTTTTTTGGTGTGTAATTATAACCTTGTCATATCTAACAAATGACATTTCCATAGAGGTGCAGGACTTAATATTACAGTGAAAAATGAGTCCACAGTGAGTAAAAATGTGAAATAACCATCCAGAAACTGCTCGGGATGTCGAGGGTGAGTGCAGCTTTAAGAAAGAGACAGTGGATCAGACTTCCTACAGGATTCACTGAACCAGTTGTTATTTTGCTCCAGAAGCCTCCGAACAGATGAACTTTCATCAGCCTGAAGCCAAATAAGATCATAAAATAAAGTCTGTTCCCTAAAACGCCTGATATCAGCACTATTAAACTGTTTAATTTCCATAATGGTCTGCAAATAAACGTTATTTTGTTGTGAAAATACCTAACTGTAAAAATCCCTATTACACTAATGGATGCTCCTTTGACTAATAACTGGAGGTTAATTTCCCAAACTATTCAGCAGTACTCTTTTTATTAGCGAGGACTTCATCTCTCTACCTCCTCATTACGTCTGCCATATAGCACGTTGACATCGTGCCAAATGTCCAGTTTTTGGAATTATGTACAATTATGGACGTTATTGAAGCAGCGAGGGATGGTGGCTGATGGCGCCCAGCTGGCTGGGGAGGAAGAAAAAGAGAAGAAAAACGACAAACTGCACAAAATCCTGAGGATCTGCATTACAGGGCTGTGTGCAAATGTTGTATTTGAGTTTAAAATCCTGACCTTTAATTTAAAAAACCTCATAAAACCAGTGACTAATTCGTAAGGATACCACATGGGAAGCAGGATCTGAGTCAACCTGGATCTATTATTTACGTTTTTATCCATTAATTCTTTCTCTTTTTTGGTTTTATGGATCTAAAAAAAATGTGATTTTATTATATGAAATAACTCAAATGTGGCCCCAAGATGCTAAAAGCATAAAATTACATAATAAAAATCTTTAAAACCCAATAAAAATCATTATAGCACACCGAAAGCCATCAAAAATGAAGGA